TCAGTCTTCACAGCACAACCTTCCAGAAGGGGGGAGCTGAAACTGAACAAATCAACCTGAAAGCAGTTTTTATCCTAAAACAACAATCGGGATAGCTAGAATTGCTGTTTATGAGTAACAATTATGTGAATAAGCACAGTAGGAGTACCGCACATTTGAAAACCAGCTCTGAGCTCACAGCCCAGGCAGCATCTTCGGAGACTTCAAACGTCTACTTTGGCATTTCACTTGATTTCTACTAGGCAAGCCAAGGAAAACACCTTTTCATGTCTGAAATTACATTAGTTTTGAATCTAGCTTCATTCTTTCCACCTGAAAGGCAAACGACCCACCTAATTTGCCAGGGCTATACTGGTTTTCAAGAGCTGCAAGCTCTTAGCAAGAAAGACTAGTTCTCTGGATAGCTAACTTCCCATCTACATGCTGAATTGTAACAAACGGTACTATTTCACCATTGGGTGTGGTTCGCTTTACTCTCCTTTTGACAGCAAGGACAGCCTGAGAAGAGCTGGTGGGTCATGCCTAAATCAGAAGAGTATAGAAGACTGCCACCTCTGTCAGCTTGTGCAGAAAGATGATGCTCGTAGGCAATAACGGCCCCAAACTACCCAGAGATTTTCTGAAGCGTTACAGGTTGGGTGCTGTAGTTTTCATACAACGCGCTCTGGCACGGTGAACAAAGACAAGTGCAGTGCTCGCAGACATGCACGGGCTATAAATGCAACAGCTGCCCACTCTTTTGACTCTTGTTCCCATTTAAGTGGGTTTTGAGGTAGGGATTTTGGAGAGAGTGTGGCCTACAGGCAGAGCTCAAGCCTGGTACAGGATAATTACGGCCAAGGTGTTCCAATTTCTCAAGCCTGGGTTTCCCATCTGCAAAAACGATCATGTGGACTTCTAAAAAAAGCTTCAACGCGAGCATAAAAATGAGTTTAGCTTGAAGCAGTAGTCTAGCAGCCCCAGACGCTGAAGCTCTCTGGTTTCATATGGGAGAGCAGGCAGGTCAGAACGGTTCTTGGAAGATCACACCAGAGCAAACCGAAGTGACCAAAATACCAGTGGTTAACCTCTCTATTAAGGCATACGCCTGCACAACAGCAAGATTGAAACCAACTGCTGCAGAAGATGATGGAAACACCTGTTCTCTCCCCTCTCCGCTCCCACACACCCGTCATTATGAATACGCAATCAAATCATGAGGCCACAGATCTCCTGAGCCAGACGCAATTTCGAATCCGTGATCTAGGAAAACATACCTTCGTATCTCATTACCGGTTTCCCGAGAGCAAATCTTCACCAGCAAACAAGACTGCTTTAACGTTGCTTCCGGGAGGAAAACGCAACCGATATAAAGCTTTTGAGGTATAAAAAAGCAAAAAGCTTTGTGAGCTTACAGAGGGCAGGCTGGACTCAACGCCCTGATCGTCGCCGGGCGGACACCGCTCCAGCACAAGAGAACAAACTCAGTGAGAGAGTTCGCAGACCTATTTCTTTAACCATTTCTGGGTTTTCCCACTGAAGTAGTTCATAATTCACTCACCACATCCAGCTTCCCTAAGCAACTGCCAAGGTCTTAAACCCCCACATTTCTCAGAATAACTTCGAAGAGAGCACATAAGCAAACTCTGAGGGCAGTTCTCCTGTAACCACCAACTTCAAAACCAAAAGCTCACCTTTTTGCTATTTATAAAAAAAGCCTAACCTGCTTTTCCTGCTAACCGAGCAATACACGACAATTTCTCTCGCAGCCGAGAAGTAGCTATAATGCTCTCAGAGGAAAAACGAGGAAAGACGTGTGGGAAGAGGTAACAGCTTCTATTAGACCTGCCAATATACTTTAAAAAAAAAATACTCGAGATCTAATTATGACTAGAAACAAAGCGCCTCGTGAATTTAAGGCATTATCTCCGCGCAAACGGCTCCGAGACGGCCGAAAGGCCCCGCGG